CTCCTTCTCCTCTTCCTCTACCTCCTTCATCTCCTCTTTGAGCTCCCCCTCTCATTCTCACTCTTCTTCTTCTTCTTCTTCTTCTTCTTCTTCTTCTTCTTCTTCTTCTTCTTCTTCTTCTTCTAGCTCCTTCCATTTTTGTTGAAGACAGGTGAACTCACCTGCTGCCTTTTATAGCACACCTGAGTGCTGCGTTTTCAAATTAGCACATGTGTGCTTCCACACCTGGTGGATGTGATTATCCAGTTCGTTCATTAGTGTGGTCATTGGCAATCTGGGGCTTTGTAATGACAAGGAAGTAACCTCACAATCCTTATCTGTGTCTAAGGTGTGAAAATGTGTGTAGAGTTTTACAAATCACTGTGTGTAATGTTTTGCAAAAAGGGTGAAGCAGACATTGTGTGTAGTGTTGTGCAAATCTGTGGAGGTGTTTTGCTCATTGGAGTAGAATTTTGCAAATTGTGTGGAAATTTTTATTTTAATGTGTAAACAATCGTAAAAAAACTGTAATTATCATCTTCTATTTTTTTTTCCTGACTGAAAAAAAGAACACATCTGTATGCACATATTGCCATAGTGCCAAACAGTACCATTGTGAAAGCATATGCTTAATATTTATGTCTTTGCAAAGTGTGTTAGTCTGCCTAAATGCAAGCCTTAATTGGCTGTTAATTTTTTTTTAAATATGTTTCTAGAGATGCTCAGCCCGTAGTGCAGCATGCAGTCAGTAAATGAGAAGTTTACTGACAAGCAATTCATCCGAAGTGTGCTTGTTAAAGTGTGAGTCAGTGACAAAATACTGTTCTGAAAGTAACTGAAAAATGTGTATGATTGGGTCTGATCTTTAGTAGGCCATTTAGCATTTAAGCAATGTTAAACTCAATGACCGTTAATTAGGAATTGATTGTAAATTAAAGAAACCACACCACCATGTGTTTTATGTGTTTGTAACATGTGCATTTTATGTCATGCTTCATCTCTATTCGGCTACAAATCAAATTTCAGGAGAGCACTTGGGATACCCCCTATGAGTGTGTGAGTGGTAAGACCACGAGCCAAAAAAGAAAAAGAAAAAGAACAACAGCCAAATGCAGCAGATGTAGCTCAACTATTGATCCTTGCTACATAAGAGTTATTATGATCAGCAGTTTATTTAGTTAAAGGTGTAGTGCATAATTTGTTTGCAACTTATGGCACCAAATGGAGTTTCAGTCTGTCAAAGTGGCCAGAATGGGTCGGACATAGCATCATTGTCTCAACCAGTGTGTGGTGCCGTGCCACTTGTCTGTCTGACCATTGGAAGATTGGGGTACGTTTAAGAAGTGTTTGGCAATTGTGTTTGGAGGCACAAATGCAGGTGCTAATTAAATTTTTGCTGTTTGAATCACTTGATGACACCAGGAAAAAGCTACTTAATTAATTCACTCTAAAATTTTCAAAAGGTTATTTGCTGCCTTAAATAGTTGGTCAAATGAAAAGGGTGCCAACGTTACCTGCAGTGAAAAGTTAATTGCAAGTTCTTACTTGATTAGGAAAAGCAAGACTTTAAAAAATTATTCAAAAATGACAAGTGCGACAAGTTAAATTGATGAAAACATATTTTGATGAAATAATAAAATTATAGTTTCACAACATCCACAATTCAGAAGATAACCTATAGTCATGTGTAGTTGTCTACTTTAATTGTAGAGCATTAACCACAAGTCTTGAAAACTTGTCAGGATTTGAATCAAACCGTTTTTACTGCAGGATAATATCCAGTGATGGGAAGGTTACTTTGGAAACATAATAGGTTACAGATTTCCCACAGTTACCCTATTAAAAATGTAATAAGTAGTGTAACTATATCAATTACTTTATTAAAGTAATGTAACTGATACACTTGATTGCTTTTCGATTACTTTTCTACATTTCTAACTAATGTTTTCAACTGATAATCATTTTGAAATATTTAAAGCAGGAAAGGTTAACATTACAGTAGTACTCAACACTGATTCCTGTCAGACATTTTTAAAATCCTTCTTCACTTGCATTAAGATTATAAATTCATTTTAAAGCACAGCCACCATAAAATTAGACTTTAGCACCTCTTTTTACTTTGAGATCGTTCTGAGGTTAAATACAGATTAAAAATTATAACAAGAAACCGATTAATATCTATGACACTGTTTTTGAAATCGAATATTTGCATAGCTATGACAGCAAACACTGAGATCTAACAATGCCTTGGAAAAATAGTTTAATCTAAAAAAATAATGCATATGCACAAACCCAAAAAGGAAATAAAACAATTATCGAACAAACGTGTCCTATTCTGTGTACTAAACTCCCGAAACATTGGTGTCTCATATTTTAGAGCAGTCAGTGCATTTTATGAAAGAAATCAATTAAATCTTAAAGTGGGTGTGTGTGAAAATATTCAGATGTAACCCCCTTTGTAATTGTTAACATTTAATTACACATTTTTTCTTAGTAACAGTAACAGATTACAGTTACATTTATTGTGTAATTAAATTGCGTAATTCCATGACATGTACCTAGTTACTCCCAAACACTGATATTATCTGATATCAACAGCTTTAAGTCCATTCACATTACCAATCAGCTTACAACAACATCACTGTCAACATTCCAACTTTATCTTATTGAGGAATGCTTTCAATAAACAGAATGCCCTGGGGTGCAAAATTAAATGACTGAATAAATGGCTTTGAGACACTCAAAAAATCTTGTTGCCTGCCAGTTTACAGGAAGAGGCATGCCATATTTGTTCTGGGTTTGATACAAGCTCTTTACCACATGAACAAAACAAAACAAAATGAACTACTAAGTGCCAGGCCTTTTTAAGTTTTCAATATATAAAACATACAACAATTCAGTTGTATATAAATGTGTCTTGCATATTTTAGCTGTAAGCATTTGTGAATATTGCATCAATATTGAATTGTCAAATGCAGTATTCTGTGTAATAACTCTTATGCTGAAGAGCCATCCTAAACATCACACTCAAACACATTTCATGAGCCAAAACCACTGGCAACCAGCAAATTTTGAAAGAAATGTGTAAACTATATTTTGGTGAGAACATAAAACAAGGCCTATGTCTGTAAAAGTATTATCGTCTAGGTTCAGGTTCCAAAGTGGGACTTGTCTTAAATACCTGGATAGTATTTAAATACTGTTAAATACATAATGAGTGATCTCAAAATATATTTTCTTTTTATGAAGTTTTTCATGAAAGCTAAACATTTCCTCTCGTAGGGGTCAGGGTAAAAATTGCTCTTGATAACTTGCTTGTGTTGTCATTTCTATAAGATGACTCCCAGTGGACACTAAGAAGCATTTCTTCTTTCTTCACCTTCACTTGTTAAAGAAAGAAATTCCTGGCAGACAAATCCTCAATAGTTTACGTGACTTTTCTTACAGAATGTCTTATAGACTGCTGTAACCCAGTTTGACATACTGAATGCAAAACCCAATGCAATGTGTGTGACTTTAAAATTTGGCATGAGACCAAACCCACCAATAAGTAGTCTTACCTCTTACCTTTACTTAATCAGATTCTGGGTTTAAGACTACTATCTTGACCGAAAGCTATGCCCTGTTGGAATTTGAGAAATGTTTAGTTTTATGCAAATTGCAGCTCAATATCCACAGAATGTTACATCTATGTTTTATTCAAGTTAAAACTATTGTTTTGTTTTTGGAAAAATTTTGCAATGTGGTAAGAAAATGTATCTGGTTATTGTCGTAACCTTGGTTCCCTTTCGAACAAAAAGCACATATATCAATGTACATAGGCAAGCACAGTGTCAAGAGCTATAAATGGTAACAAACTGTGCCCCAAATTACAGCATAGCAAAAAGCTAGAAGAATAAATGAGGTTAGTCACTCACCGAAAGCACCTGAGACGCCAAGGATGGCACATCCAACTTGTAAAACCTGACGAAAGTATTCTATGAGGACCAGCTGGCTGCATAGCACATGTCCCGAATAGATCTATTAGACCAGGCCCATGAAGAGGCAATAGCCCTCGTCGTATGGGCTCTGATGTTGAGAGGGCATTCCTGCTCCTGGATTGCATTAGCCAACACGATATTGTCCACTATCCAGTGAGAAAGCCTCTGCTTATATGCTGCTCGTCTCTTAGTACAGTCACCATAGCACACAAAGAGCTGGTCAGACTGTCGAAAGATGGCAGAGTGGTCAATATAAATCCTTAAAGCCCTGACAGGGCAAACAGTGCTTTTGAGCCTCGGCGTCAAGCGAGGTCAATGATTCAGAAAACAAAGCGTGCAAAGAAATTACCTGTGCTTTAAAGGGTGTAGAAAGAGATTTAGGCACATAGCCCGGTCTCGGCCGGAGAGTAACACTGCAGTCAACAGGCCCAAAGTGAATACAATCACCGTCCACTGAGAGCACATGCAGATCTCCCATGCACTTAGCCGAAGCAAGGACAAGAAGCAGCGCAGCTTTGAGGGAGAGCATAGCAATGGATGTCAAGGGCTCGAACAGGGGTAGAGAGAAAACTTTCAGAACCAGCGCTAGGTCCGACGGCGGTACTGACGGTGGGCGTGGGGGATGTAATCTCCTTACTCCCCTGAGAAGTCTGACCACCCATGCATGCCTCCCGATCAATTGTCCGTCAACCTGGGAAAGAAATTAAGTAATAGCAGCCACATAAACCTTTAGCGTTGATGGTAGACTCCCTTTATCCAGCCTGTGCTGCAGAAAACATAAAACATCTGACATGGGACAGCTTGCCGGGTCGATATCTCTATCACAGCACCATTTCATAAACACTCCCCATTTGAGAGCGTACAGATGCCTAGTAGAAGGTGCACGAGACTCAGTGAGCGTGTCAAGCACACCTCTAGGACCCCTGAAGTAGCCACACATGAAAGCTCCATAGCTCTGGGCTGGGTTGCCATATCGAGCTGTTCGCTTGAGACAGAAGGTCCCTCCTGAGGGAGATTGCCCAGTGGGAGCCACCAGCATCTCCCTGAGGTCTGGAAACCAAGGTTGATTTGGACAGTTCGGGGCAATGAGGATCCCCCTTGCACTCTCTTCCCTGATTTTGCAGAACACCAGAGCCAAAATCTTCACTGGACATCAGAGTGTCCCACATCAGCCATAACAGGCACAGACAGTAGGCGCGTTTCCATTACCCTTCAAATTGCGCAAATAGAAATTGTGAATAGAAAATACGCTTAATGGAAACGCGTCAATTTCGCAAAAACGGCCATATATAGCAAAAAAGTTTTTACGCTTGCACTAGGTGGTTTTTCAGGCAATGAGAAAAAGGATTAATTCGCAAAACTGCAATGGAAACGGCTTTTTCGCATTTACAGGTCACATGGTGTATGTAAAAAGTCATATGATCATTCTTCAATGTACTATAACCTCCAAGAAACACTTCATAAGTGGCCGCGCTCCAGTATAAGGGGCTTTCCCTACTATTAATACTTAGACAATTTACACTGCACACGTCTGCAGTGCAGTGTGGCTCTGATACGGTCACTGAAACTGATTACGGCCACTCAATGCTTGTGTTAATGTTTTTATACAGGCTATGGTTTATTCCAGCCACGCCACGCACGTTTCTGAAGCGGCACTCTTTGCTGCTTCTGTAAAGATACACGCACAAGCCTCCTTTGAATAAATATAGCCAAAATCCGTCAAAATCCCACCAAAATCCGTTGCCATGACTTATCGCGAGAGGCAAAAGGTTACGTTTAAGTCTCATAACATTGGTTAATGGAAACGCCATCATTTCACAATACTTTTTTATCGACATTCAGAAAATATCGCCAAAGTTTTGCACAAATCTGTAATGGAAACACGCCTAGTGGCTCTGCAATGCTCTGAGGCAGGGTGAGTAAAGCTGTATTGATATGATGAGGGGAAAACAGCTCTTTTTGTGAGGATGTTTGTGTTTTTATTGCATAAACAGAAACATGAACATTGCATTTGTCACCTGCAGGAACAAGGGGAAAATAATGCAGGATGTGATGCTTGGGAGCAAGCTCTCTCCTTTTCTTGGCAGGTCTATCAGGACGAAGGCTTGGCAGCCGAGGGCAGTCTGCTGTCACGGCGGGGAATCCTCCTCTGTCCATGATGGCTTTTCCCAGGTCCCATCCACTGCTTATGGCAAATATCTGGCTCATTTTGAGGAGCTGCAGAGGACGCGATGGGCTGCTTAGCCATTTTCTGAGCAGAGCAGGGTGCAGAAGAGGAGCATGATCTTGATGGCGGATGGAACGCACACTGGGGGATCAGGTGACTCATTGCCTTTGCATGCTTTTGCACCTCAGAGAAGCGCTCGATAACTGACTGCATGGTGTCACCAAAGAGGCTGGAGGGAGTGTTGAGGAGCGCCTTATGGTCAGAGTCCTTCAGGTCAGCCATAGGTGCCTGTGAAGGACTACCAGAACCTTCACACGGACGGCGTTTCTAGATAGGGGAGGACCCACCAGCAGCTCGCTGGCAGCAGTGGGCCTCATCCTCGTGAGGCCACGAGTGATGCTCCTCCGAGTCATTAAAACATGTGCTGGCAAGTCAGCGCAGTGTATGCAGTCGGACTCAGAGACCACTGCCTCAGCGTGGACCAGACCCAGGCAGGTGATGCAGTGCTTGTGCATGTTCAGCGGATGCGGTAAAGAAGCTAGAAGATTCTGAGGCAATTGTCGCTCTCACCGCATTATATTCTGCCCGAAGGCTTGTCAGTATTTGCATGCAATTTACATAATTAGCAACAATTGGCCAGTTTATTGTACTGCCGTTATCCTACAAGGTTTCAGGATTTTGGGAGAAAGCGATGAGTTTCCACTGCAAATGCTTCGCAATGTACAGTGAACGCTCGAAAGGGAAACAAACCTAATTCAAGATATATTCTCTAAAAACAAGTTATTATTAGTTCATACAATATTATTTCTCAAGTAAATTTAAAAACGTTCACTACAATCATGCACTCTATCCATTATTTTATTAACCACTACACCAACATGAAGCCATAACAGTGAGTGGTCTGTTATATCATGACTTCAGTTTGGCCATTGGAATGGTCTGACAATCCATTAAGGGCGAGCAATTGCTGTTATTTTGGTGTGTATCTGTGCGTGTAGAACACAAAACAATCAAACAAAGGCTTGACTAAACTGAGCTGGGTGGCTATGTCTGCTGTTTGTAGAACTGCATTATGTTGAAAAAAAGACTGCTACAATGAATGTGAACAACTGCAATTTTACCATATGGTCAGGTTTTCTTGAAATTCTCTGCAGACACTTTGTGAATCAAGAGAGGTTTGTTGATTTGTTGTGAATGCATGGCAACATTTTCTGGATTGTGAACAAACCATCCATAACTACAGCAAATCTTCACAGAAGCATCTCATATTCTTTAGCCAGTGAATGACTGTTTTCTCAAGGTGAACCTTATTTGACCTATTGTAGGCAGATAAGGAGACAGGAGTTCTTAGTTAATAATGCGGTTGAAAAAGAGGAGCTGTGGTGGGCCAATGTCTGGCGGAATGAATTGGAACTCAAGATGAGTTGTTTTTCTCATGTTCTAGGTCCCATAGAGTACAAGTGAGAAATGAACCCATATTTGCATTGATTTGATCATGTTTGAGAGTCTCCCCTCTGTGAGTGACATCTACTGTGAATTTGGCCAATGTTCTCCACTGGAACTGATGAATGGTGCATAAGCTGGTCCTTCTAAAATGACAATAATGTTATTTATCTTTAATGTGCTTAAACTTTGCAAGATTATGTGTGATTTACATAAGAAACACCTGTTATGAACCTTTCAGGAAGATATGAGGAATATTACAAACGTGGAAAGTTTTATGGACACAAAAAAACTCTGAAAAGATTTTGTCACATATAGGTGGATTTTGTCACGTTTTAGATGGCAATGTCAAGGCAAGTCAAGTCACCTTTATTTATAGAGCTTTATACCCCCCCGCCCCCTGAAAAAACATGACATGAAAACATTATTTTCATGGACAGGACTGCCAAAATTTTACTCTTTTGACATGATAATATGCAGGAAACTCAGTTTCCTGATGACCTGCCACTGTGTGTGTGTGTGTGTGTGAGTGTGTATATATATATATATATATATATACACTACTGCTCAAAAGTTTGGGATAAGTAAGACTTGTAATGTTTTTAAAAAAAAGTCTCTTATGCTCTTCAAGGCTGCATTTATTTGATCAAAAATACATAAAAAACAGTAATCTTGCAAAATGTTATTACAATATAAAATAATGGTTTCTATTTGAATATCTTTTAAAATATAATTTATTTCTGTGATGCAAAGCTGAGTTTCCATCAGCCATTACTCCAGTATAAAGTGTCACATGATCTTCAGAAATCATTATAATATGCTGATTTATTATTAGAATTATCAATGTTGGCAACAGTTGTGCTGCCAAATATTTTTTGTGAACTGCAATACTTGCAATACAATTCAGGAATCTTTGATGAATAAAAAGTTTAAAAGAACAGAATTTATTCAAAATATAAATATTTTCTAACAATGTCAGTTTTTGCTATCACTTCTTAACAATTTAACACATCCTTGCCGAATAAAAGTTTTAATTTCTTTCAAAAAAAAAGAAAGAATAAAAAATTACTAACCCTAAACTTTTGAACTGTAGTGTATATTGTTAGAAAATATTTCTATTTTAAATAAATGTTCCTCTTTTTAATTATTTATTCATCAAAGAATCCTGAAAAAAGTATCACAGGTTCCAAAAAAATATTAAGCAGCACAACAGTTTCCAGCACTGATATTAAATCAGCATATTAGAATGATTTCTGAAGGATCATGTGACACTGAAGACTGGAGTAACGATGCTGAAAATTCAGCTTTGATCACAGGAACAAATGAGATTTTAATGTATATTAAAATAGCAAAACTTTATTTTACATCATAATAATATTTCACAGTATTACAGTTTTTTCCTGTATTTTTGATCAAATAAATGCAGCCTTGATGAGCAGAAGAAACTCCTGTAAAAAACATAAAAAATCATTCTGATCCCAAACTTTTGACTGGTAGTGTATCTGCAAACAGGCTCAGAAAAACCATTGATTCAAAGGGAAAACACATTTTCATTATGACAGATATTTGTTCTTGATTTAAGCATAAACTCAATAGCTTAGTTTTACTCTTGCATTTCTAGTATTTAAGGGGATTTTACGGATATTTGTATTGGCAAACAGAAATACTTAGTAAGATAAAATTAAAACTTTCTGCTCTGATGTAACCTTTTTAATTACCTTAATTTGTGGAAGAGCAACTTAAGACTTTTTAAGACCTTTTTAAGATCCACAGAAACCCTATATTATATCATAGTCTTAAAGATGTTTCACTGAAGCTGATGCAGACAGTAGTGTTGACTCACTGTGTTATGTCCACTAAGGATGTGTCATTATACACAGTCAGAACAGGTGGGGAAAAAAACGGCAAGATTACTTCCCTGGAGCTCTATGAAAAATTACAATCTCAAATTGGAGGCAGGTACTAAGAGAGATTTATGTGTTCTGTAAGTATGTACTGTAGCTTTTGGTAACAAATGTATTGCTTGTTCTCTCGGATGAGAATGAACTCTGTTTAAACTATTATAGCTATCAGCTATAGCTTTGTCACGCTCTGTGGATAAAAAGTGCCAAAGAGCCAAAGTCAGCATTAAAATGCAGTAATTCATCCTAAAGGGACACGTCAAGCTATTACCTGCTGCACAAAAGTAACTGAGTGCTGCCGAGCTCCAGGAAAAATATGGAGCATATTGTGCACAGTTTGAGCAGTCAGGCTTCACTCTGGTCAAATGAACAGACTTGACAGCCATGGCTACAGAAATGCTTAATTTTGTTACTCAACACTTGTTGCAGAAGTTTTGTTTTAAGTGGTAGATTTATGTGGATTAACCTTCCTCATGTTAGTCTCTTGGTGTTCTTGTAAAAAATGGTTCAATCTGTGTCAGCTCCGTGTAAGAAATATCTGAGTACTGAGCTAAAATCAGCATGCGCCCCACAAAAATAAATTTTTATTAAAGAATGAGTGCATCTATTACCTATTATGAATGTGATCTTTTCAAAGGTTGAGTGTAGAACACTGAGATATTTTTTCTTATATTGCAAATGCCCATTCATCTTATTTTACAAATAAAAAAATATTATTTTTTTAGATCAGTAAAGCCTTTTCATTTACTGAACTGTTTATGAATAATACTATTATTTTTGAAAACAACCTAAAAATATTCCTAGATTATAACTGCGACACACCTGTTTTTCACGTACCATAGGAAATGACCTCTTATTTCTCAGGGTGTATTGAGGGCACATTCCAAGACAGCAAACAATTCTTGCCTGGCCCCCCTTGTGAAAGGATAAAAACGTACCTTTGCAAAGTAATGAGAGAAAGTAATCTAGCCTGAAGCCAGGAGGCATTCGTTTTCCATTTAAGCCACAAATTTCAAATTAGCTGAACAGAATAATCTCAGCATTTTTTAGTTTAATGTTTGTTGCTCACAGTTGATCTCAATATGAACAAACAATAAGACAACTCATGGGTTATAAAATATGGTTTCAATTTAATATTAAACAGATAATCTGTACAGGATTTACATACATTTATGACCTGTATGTCGGCCATGAAAAGTAAGATCAGGCACAATCCTTTTCTGTTAATTAATTTTATGATTTTTTTTTTTTTCATCTTTGGCATTTGAATAAATTATGGATGGCTTATCTTGTAATGGTTTGAAATGGTAAGAAAATAGTATTTTTTTTTGTTTCAATTTGGAGCATGTATTATAAAAATATATGGTTAGTGGAATAAATAGATATTCTATTGCATATACTCTTTATCACAGTTATTCATACTGTGGGATGTGTATTACTGTGGCATTTAAAATGAACGTCTTTTGGTTAGTCGTGAAATACAGGATTTTTTTATGCTTGAGGAAAACTAAGAATTTACCTATTGTCTGCTTCGTTAATTATTCATACTCTTGAGGAAAATTAATCCTCATGGTTCAAATGATGAAAGACCGTATTGTACATGCAAGATAATGCAGGCGCTAATTTAGACCCTCACAGCATCTCATCTGAATGTCACATTGAGAATGGCAGTCAGCGCATAGCTACTTCAGATATATGTATTATATAGGTGCTGTTTTATAATGCTTTCACGTTGACAGCGAAAGTACTCCACGACTCTCTCTGCTCTTTACTTCTCCCTCTCAGTAATGGAGTTCCGACGGGCTTCCTTTAGGACAGACATGAACCTGTTCTCTGAGGTGATTCTCCAGGTGCTGGGACAGAAGAATGAAGAAGCAGTCGAACGGATGAGTGAGGATCAGTTTAGCTGTGCTCAGATGGACAGTCATGTTGACGTGACCCTACTGAAGGAGAACAACAAAAATGAAAACAATAAGATACTGTGACTTTTAAATCTATTGATACATTGTGCCTAATTTTTTTGCCTACTGGTTGCAGTTAAAGGGGTAATGGACTGCCTTTTTAATATGTTGTACTGTTCTCTGAGGTCCACTTATAATGTTATCAAGATTTTTACATAAAAAAACATCATAATTTAGAAGTAATAGGCTATTTTCTGTCCTGTTTTGACCCCCTCATCGGAACGCTCTGTTTGAATAGCTGTGGTGGATTGTAGATTCAGAAGTAAACGCCACTGTTATGATTGGCTAAGAGCTGTGCATGTTTGACAGCCTACATCCTTCATAGATGGACGCTGATGGGAATTAGGGTAAAACGCATAAATACTCACTACATAGCAAACGATCTGTAATAGCAGACAAAGCAATGGGGATCACGTAATAAAACTACTCTCACTTGTGTGGTGCGACATTACTGTCAGAACCAATATAGTCACACAGCATCGTCTTTTAATTTCAATCTTTCTGAAAATCCTGTGTCGAATTATGTCTTGTTTGTAAGCGAATCCACGGTAAAAGTTCTTACTGACACCATCAGGATCTTCATTAAAAATAAAGTTCGTCTACTCTTTCCTAATGTTGGGATCAGAAGATAGGCAAAGCAAGG